GATCGAACTCAGGTCCTTGTGCTTGTGAGTCAGGCAGCCGAACCACTGAGCCAAATCTCTGGCCCCTATCCGTGGCCCCCCCCCCGCAATATGATGGCATCAGTGACACATTGATTTTTGTATTGTTTTGGTTTTGATGTTAATGGGGATTGAGCCCAAGGCCTTCCCACTGAGCCGCTGAGACAGGATGTCCCTAAATCCCTAAATTGCCCAGGCTGGCTGGAACTTGTGACCCACCTGCCTCAGCCTCCCAGACTACGAGGATGACAGGTGTGCTCCACCAGTACGCCCATTTACCACCCGAACAGCTCAGGAGCTAAGGGGCGGGAGGGTGGTTGCACCTAGCCATCATGGAACCTGAGAAGGAAGAGCCCTGCAGGACATGGAAAGCTGCAAAGGCTGTAAGGACTGAAAGTTGGGCCTCCTCTCCACCCTGAGAAATCTTTCAGATGCTGCTGCTGCTAATTAAAACTGAGACTTCTTAAAAGTGCACGGGGAGAATGCTTTTTCCATCCTGTGCATGTTTCCATGTGAAGGAACTTTAGTTCTCCTTCTGGAAGTCTCCACCCTTTCCAGGGTGAATGATTATTCCTGCTTAGCAAGGCTAAAACCATTTTCTTGCTAGCACTAGTGGTGATAAAAGTGGCAATTTATCTCCAGTTCTGATGCTGTAGCTGCCTCTGATTCCCAGGGAGATCAACTGAAAAAAGCCAGGTGTCCAGGAGATGCCAACCCACAGGAGAGGGGTAAGCCTGGCCCCAGCAGAGCCCAGGCACAGAGACAGAAGCACCACTGTGGGACCAGCCCATGGCTGCTTCCTGGAGATTGCACTTGGCCAAGGATTAACCACCCTGAGTTCAGCTTCCTTTCTTAAAAGATAGGATCAGCCAATGCTGGGCAGCTTTAAGACTTAGTGAGACCATGTTTCAAAAATTAAAAAGGGCTGGGGAGGTAGCTCACTGCAAAGGCCCTAGGTTCAAATCCCAGTACCACTAAAACAAGACAGGCCCAGCATCCATCAGCACTCCTAGTTACAAATGACGAAACTGCCTTTAGAAGGAACATGTAGCTTGGCGTGGTGGCACATGCCTGTAATCCCAGCCCTCAGGAGGCTGAGGCAAAAAGATTGCCTGGAGTTCAAGGACAGCCTGGACTACATAATCAGATGGTCTCAAAAAGAAATGAGCCAGGTGGTACATTTGTAATCCCAGCACTTGGAAGGCTAAAGCAGAAGTTCAAGGCTATCTCAAAAAAAGAGTCTATTAAAAGGATGGGGCAGTCCCCCTCAGATCTCAGAGGGCTTTAGAGTTGGACTTGGCACTCTGCAGTCAGAACAAGGCATAAACCCAACTAAAAGCCTGCTCTGGGAAAGCAGTGGTGTCACTGATGGCACCCAACTTGGACATTCCAGCCAGAACCTCTGCCAGAACCCTCTAGAAGTCAGATCCATGGGCTTCCACTTTGGCCGTAGAACACACCCAGGTTATGGCCTCCTCTATCACCAGCCCCAGCTGGACTTCCCCACAGATTCTATTGGTGGACCTGAAGTCACATGGGCATCCCACCACAAGGGATGATGGGAAAAGAAAATGGCTTCTACCTTAGAACTGCCAATCAAACTGGGGAGAATTTAGGGACACTGTGTAGTCAAAAAGGACAGATGTGGCCAGGGATTTAGCTCAGTGGCACCGTGCCTGCCTTGCAAGTGCAAGGTCCTGAGTTTGATCCCTGGTACCAAAATTTAAAAAAGGACAGATTCTCCCCACAGTTTCAAGAGTCTGGAGATGAAAGAGACAACAGCTTCATGGATGATAAAGAGAACACTTTTATTGTCCCTGCAGTGGCTCCCCAAACCCCTTAAATTTATGCCTGTCTGCCCTCCCCAAGGCACCCTCTGGAGGAGATGACAAAAGTGGCCGTGAAGGGGAGGAAGAGAACGCCTTTATTGGAAGAACAGTGCAGACACAGACTGGGGCATGACTCAGCACAAGAGTGGGTTCCAGGAGCCAGCACCATCCTCGGAGTCCCCTCCAGGGGGCTGCCCAGAGATGGGTGGCGCGACAGGACCCTGTGATCCCTTGGGAGAGGGCATTGCGGAAGAGAGGGAGGCAGGAGGCCTGGGGTTCCCACCGAGAGAGGGCGAGAAGCCGCCTGGTTTCACCGATCCATGCTGTCATCCGTGGGGCTGGAGAAGCAGGTCTGCAGGAGCTTCTCGCAGAACTCCAGCTCCTCCTGGAATAAGGCAGGGGGTCCTGACGAGAAGGCCAGGGCTGCCTCCAGCACACTCACCAGCTGGCATACATCTACCTGCCTATCCAAGAGCCACCAGCCTCGCCAACCATGCTGAGACCCAGATCGACTCCCTTCTTGCCAGCTCCGAAGTGCTCAGCTGGGACCTGGGGGCTCCCACACTGCGTGCTCACAGCAGCCACCTTAGGCCCTTTTGGGCTCCCAGGAAGTCCTCTCATTACTCCCAGTTCCGAGCCCCTTCCTCAGATTTGTACCTGAGGAAGACAAGAGAGAACGCACTGGCAGGTTAAACCCCATAATCAGAAGAAATAGCTCCGTGGCAGAAAACTCCAAAAACAAAATCAAGTTGGAGGAAAAAGCAGCCAGGCATAGAGGTACGGACCTGCAGTGTCAGCTATTCAGGAGGGTGGGGCGGGAGGATGGTGCGAGCTCACATGTCAGGATAGGCAAAGGCCAGGAAGGAATAGCTCATAAGGGAAAGCTGGCCAGCCTGGTGTGGTGGTGCACACCCAGGATGTCACACGGGACGGGGACGCCGGGCCTGCTGCGGGCTGAGGAGTGTGGACCGGCTCAGCCTCTGTCCTAACGGGAGAGTCCAAAACCCCAACTTTCACCTTTCACGTCACTCAGCCCTATTCCCTTCTTCAAATGCATCCTGCAGTGATACACACACAGGTGACACGAGCAGAAGGTGACTGATGACCACTGCAGCACTGCGGATTAAACCCAGGCCTGCACATGCGAGGCAGCACCCGACCACTGCACTGCGTACCTGGCCCCCCTTTTTTTTTTTCTGGTACCGCGGATTGAACTCAGGACCTGTGCTTGTGAGGCTGGCGAGGGGCCACTGTGCTAAATCCCCGGCCCTGGCCCTTTCTTTTTGAGACAGATCTCAAGTTGCACAGTCTGGGCTCAAATCTGTGACTGCCCTGCCTCAGCCTCCTGAGTAGATGGGATTACAGGTACATACCATAGCACCCAACAAAAAAGGTGGTTACTTTTTTTTCTTTGTCATACTGGTTAATGGACCCAGGGCTTTCCCATTGAGCTACATCCCGCCCCCCACTTTAACTTTTATTAGTACATGTTTGCAGTACATGTTTATATTCAGCCCTTTTTATTTTTGGTACCAGGGATCGAACTTGGGACCTTGTGCTTGTGAGTCAGGTGGTGGAACCACTTAGCTACATCCCCAGCCCAAGCCCTTTTTATTGTTTGAGACAGAGTCTCACTAAAGTCAATAAATTACCAAGGCTGGGCATGAATTTGCAATCCTCCTGCCTCAGCCTCCCAGAGTGCTGGGATGACAGACATGGGCCACCACCACGCGGCTTCACTGAAATGATTAAATAACAATGAATACACAAGTAACTGTGATCAATCACTTGTCACTCACCTATCTAATGAGTTATCACTTATCTATTTAACTAGACAATGCATTATTTATCTATCACTTGTCATGCATTATCTAATCAATTAAAGAACCGCCATTTACTTATCAGTTCGATGAGATTGAATGAGATCTCCCCTGCTCCTCCGGCCAGCGCACAGTGAGGCAGAGAGGCAGATGCAGCCCGAGCCCAGCCCGTCCGCGTACCTGGTACTCCTCGCGCTGCTGCAGCAGCTGGCAGCGGTGTCGCAGCAGCTCCTCCAGCCCCAGCTCTGGCTCCCGGCACTCGCGCACGCCCTGGGGGAAGTCCGTCACCAGGCTGCAGGGGACGGGGACAGGAGAGCCTCAGGGACCCCGCCACAGACCCAGGCCAGGTTCCCCTCCACCCCGCAGCTCCACGGCAGCTCGAGTGTCACTGCCCCATACTGGTTTCAGTTTCCCTATCTGCAAAATGGCCCCCGGCTGTCTCCCTTGGCCCCGGGAATCACAATGAGACTGATAACAGGTGTGCGGCATGGCGCCAGACACAGGGCCACACTCAGAGCCTGCTGCTCCATTGATCCATTCCACCTTTGTTTTTGGAGACAAGGTCACACTATGTATGTAGCCCGGGCTGGCCTTGAATCTGTGGCAATCCTCCTGCCTCAGCCTCCCAAGTGCTGAGAGGACAGGTGTGAGCCATCACACCTGGCCACTCTGCCTTTTTCTAAATACTAATCTGATCGTAATGGTGAGTGGACCGTAGACCTTCTCCTGGGGTGGCCCCGCAAGCTGTACAGGTGAAGAACCGAGGCCCTGTGACCTCGGCATTCTTGAACTCCTCCCCATACCCACAGGTTGGTCCGTACCCGAGGTACCCCACCACCCACTGTGAGGCCCCCACACACCTGCACAGGGCCCCGAGCACGTGCTCATGGAAAGGGCTGTGTTCAGTCCGCACGAGGGCCACCAGCTGCTGGACCATCCCCATGGAGCACAGGGTCCCTGGGGAGGCGGTGGGTCAGAGGGCAGCCCCTGCCCTGCACCGCCCCTGCCCGCGACCAGGCACACACTCCCCTCACAGAGGCCGCCCCACCTTTGTGCTCGGGGTGGCCCACCAGCAGGTTCTGCAGCAGGAACGCCGACTTCACCTTGAGCTTCTGCACCTGCTGCTGCATGGCCCGCATCAGCACCGAGAAGCCATCCAGACTGAGGAACTGCAGCAGCCCTGCCTCCTGCTCCCGCACAAGGCCTGGGGAAGGGAGGGCCGGGAGGTCAGGGTCAGCACTGCTGCCACCATCACCGTCATCATCACGACCATGACCATGTCCCGAGCATGTCCACCATCACCACCATCACTGTCACCATCCAATATCGCCATCGTGACGATCAACATCACATCCTCATCACCACCTCAAGCTCCATCTTCGCTGCTCTCTGTGGGCCTGTGCTAGGTTGGCAGCAACTCTGAAGCCTCCTGGAGGTACAGACCACAACCCATCTAACTCACCATTCAAGCACAAGACTCAGCGGTTTTCGGTGCATCAGAGGTTGGGCAACCATCACCACTGCACGACCAACCCCAGAACATTTTCATCACCCTGGTACGCATGAGCTGTCCCCGCCAGCCCCCATGTCTATGCCTGCCTACCCTGGACGCTTCACGGAAGTGGATTCACGCATGAGGTGGCTTGTTTCACTCAGCACAGCACTTTCAATGTCTATCCACGCTGGAAAGCCTGCTTTCATGGCCGATGGTGTTCCACTGTACAGATACTCTGCTTTTTGTCTGTCCACTCATCCACTGATGGGCACATTACCTTTTAACCCTCCCAACTACCCCAGAAGTTAGAGAACTTACAGATAAGACAGCTTTGGCTTAACTGTTACTTCCCACCTATTTCACAGAAGAGGAAATTGAGGCCCCGGACACAGGCTATCTCTAGAAGACCTCTGAGAAGGCTTTGGCCGTGCTACCAGAACAGACTGGCACCCTAGGCCTGACATGCAACAAGTATGCTGTTCCAGTGGAACTCATCTAAACCTGGAGTGGATGAGGTATTTTCCACTGAACACAGCTTCACACCAACCACTGAAAATCCTATGTCTGAGTTGAGATCTGCTTTAAGTGTACACTAACGCCCAGGTTTTGAAGATTTGGCATGACTAAAAGACGGAAGGCATTTCATTAATATTTCATATCAATTATGTATTGAAATTTTAATAGTCTAGATATAGTAATTTAAACTAAAATGTTACTTTAAAAAAATAAAAGAGCCAGGCGTGGTGGTGCACACCTGTCATCCCAGCACACTGGGAAGCTGAGGCAGGAAGATCACAAGTTTGAGCCCAGCCTGGGCAGACCCTGTCTCAAGATTAAAAAAAAAAAAAAAGGATTAAACCAGGCATGGATGGTGCACACACCTGTCATCCCAGCACACTGGGAAGCTGAGGCAGGAAGATCACAAGTTTGAGCCCAGCCTGGGCAGACCCTGTCTCAAGATTAAAAAAAAAAAAAAAGGATTAAACCAGGCATGGATGGTGCACACACCTGTCATCCCAGCACCTGGGAGGCTGAGGCAGGAGGATTACTGTAAATTTGAGGCCAGCCTGGACTACACAGCAAGACCCTGTCAGAAAAAAAAAAGAGCCACTGTTCACTCCCCTAAGACTCCTCCTAGGTTAACGCCATCAGCCCTGCGCATCTCCTGCCCTCCACCCCCCACTGCCTTCCCCTCAAGCAAAGGGCACGGTCACAGTTGTCACCACAGGCCATAATTCCCCTTTCAATGTGCTGTGCTTGCTCAGTATGGAAGAAGTGAGCCCTCTCTCTGAAGCCACACCGAGCAAGGAGGAGCCCCAAGTGCTATTACAAAGTGACAGCAGACAGAGAAGGGCTCAGGTAATGGGGCATGCAACTGCAGTGGCCAACACATGTCACGTGTCCAAGACACCACAACAGGGCGTGAGCCTTCCTCTGAGCTGCACGTGCGGCCATGCAAACTCTTCAACAGACGGCTACAGTCCCAGCCTGGGAGGCAGAGGCAGGAGGATTGCAAGTTTGAGGTCAACCAGGATTATGTAGCAAGACCTTGACTTAAAAATATAAAACAAGCTGAGCGTGCTGGCGCATGCCTATAACTGCAGCACTCAGGAGGCTGAAGCAGGAAGATCACAAGTTCGAGGCCAGCCTGGACTACATAAGGAGGCCCTGTCTCAGAAAAACAAACAAAAACAACCACAATAAAAAAAAAACACATCATTCTGGTGGGTAACTTCTACTTAATTTTGCTATAAAACTGCTGCTCTAAAACAAGTCTCTTTTTAAAAATCCTAAAAAGCTAGACACCTGGAGCCAGGCAGATGGAGTTGCAGTGTCTGCAACCTCCCCTGGGCCTGCCCTGCCCCACTCCACACAAGAGCCCTTCGGATCCTTCCCTGTCCACATCTCTGCAGACACAAAGCACCACTCAGGAGCGCAGCGGGTCCTCAGCCTCACAGGCCGGCAGGGAGCAGCCACAGAGCAGCTTGGACAGGGTCAGCCCATGCCCACCCCCAACACGGAGCTCCCTGGGGGCAGCCGGGCCACCACAGCTCACCCAGGAAGAGAAGATGCCAGGGTGGCTCTGCCCCTTCCCGCTTGGGCAGCCACCGCTCTGTGAGTGTCCGTGGCACCTGCAGCACCACAGAGAGGACACAACCAGGCAGATGCCCAGCACAACCACAGGGCCCATGGAGCACCAAGGCACAGCCTGCGCAGAGCCCAGCTCACTCCCGCAGGCTCCGCAACAGCCACAGGGCAGGGGCTCCACAGGACACGCCCAAATCCTGAGCCAGAGGGACAGTGAGAGACCAGATGCGACCTCTGCTGGGTGGGGGACACAGGTGCAGAGCAGCCCACAGGTCTGTGTCAGGTACAGGCATGCACGGGGGAAGGGGCTGTGCAACACACTTCGCACCACACACACACTCAAGACACGCACACCTAGTATACACCACACCCACAGCACCCACGCTCCACGCCATGCACACGAGACACACTCACACACACACATGCACACCATGCCACGGTACACACTGTGTATCACACACCTGCACCAGATCCACACCACCTCCACACACCCTGCACCCCTCACACATGGTGCCACCACATCTGTTAAAACCCTGGGAATAGAAAGGGAACCCAGCAGCTCTTCTGAGAAAGGGGCTCAGGGACACTGTCCCTGCACTCTTCATACCCCTTGTACTGTGAGCAACGTGGCCACCTTGCAGACTCTCTTACACTGTATTGAATTACTTTTCCTTTTTAATGAGAGCTGCCCAGAAGAGCACTCTGCCGGGTTCCCCCCAGCTCTGGCTCCAGCTGCCCCAGGGCCCAATCCCTCACCATCCCTGTGGCGCTGCCCACCTGTCCCTCCTCCCTTGGGCCCCTTCTGACTCCTTCCTGCCCCCCCCCATGAGGACAGGCCACTGGAGAGTGGGCGCAGGACCAGGCTTGGTGCAGAGGTCACCATGTGACCCCGAAGCCCCCAGGTGCCTACGCCAGGGAAACGAGAGTATCTGAGCATCCCCCCCAGACCACACACATCGAGTGCTGAAAGAACCCAGATGTCTCCTGGCGGGGAGTGTGGAAAAACAAAATGTGCTGCAAGTCACTGGGCCATAAAAACGTGCAGACACGTGTTACCCAAGCATGAGCCTGTGCTCTGTAAAGAAATCCAGACCGAAAGCCACATGGGCCTGACTGTTTACACACAACATCCAGGGTGAGCACATCAGACAGCAGTAGGAGGCTGCTTCCTGTGTCTGGGGTCTCACGTGGGGACAAGACAACTCTGGGAATGGACCAGAAAGTACTCTAAATTTCGAGTTCAAAAAGGGTAGGTTTGGCACTTGTAAATTTTATCTCAAAGCAGCCGCTTCAAATCCCAGCACTTGAAAGACTGAGGCAGGAGGTTTGCTGCTAACTCAAGCCCAGCCTGGGCTACACAGTAGCACTGCATGGTGAGAATGTGTCTCAAAAGCGGAGGAAAAAAAAAGCTGTTTAAGGGGTTTCATATGCAGCAAGCACAAGAAGGGCTTGGACTGCTCTGTGTCCATGCGGGGCCTCCCTGGCCTGTTCTGTCCTGTGCGAGGGGACGTGATCATCTCAACCTCAGTAGGTGTGTGAGGACCAAACAAGCACCCCAGGGACCCTGGCTTTCAATCTGGGGGTTGCACACACACAGCCAGGTCTCTGTCCCAGCCTCCATTTCCAGAGACTGATGAGGAAAACTGCCTGCTGGAAAAGCAGCACCCATGTGGAGCCATGGCAGGTCTCAGCCCAGGGCTCTGGTATGTGGGCATCTCCAGCTGTTCTGAAAGGCCCCAAGGGGGACAGGGCCGGAAGCCAGGGGTGCACAACTGTAATCCCAGCACTCAGGAGGCTGAGGCAGAAGGAGCGCCAGGAGTTCTAGGCCACCTTAGGCTATACAGTGAGTTCAAGGCCAGCCTTAAGTTCAAAGTGAGACCCCATCTTGAAAAACTGGCAAGATGCTGGGGTGAGACAAGAACAGCCTCTACTGCTGCCATCCCCACCTTGCTCCCAGCTGCCAGCGCAGTCCTGTGGCACAGGGACTCGAGGGTTGAATGGGTGCAGCAGGACGCTCCTGGAGGACAGCCCTGGCCCAGCCCTCCCGGTTCTGGGATACTCACAGGAGATGGCGAAGAGCGCCTTGACGCGGACAATGTCACAGGTGTCGCGGTCCAGCAGCCGCAGCAGCTTGCGCAGGGCACCGAGGCCCAGCACCTGCTCCTGGATGGCCGCCACGTTCTGGCTGCAAGTGCCGATGAGTTGTGCCGTGCGCCACCGCAGGCCAGCAGGGCCGGACTCGAGGTAGCGGCCCACCAGCAGGTGCATGCCGGACAGCTGGCAGAAATCTGTGTGCGCATGTGCGGGGGAGGGGGCAAGGGGAGGGGTCAGGGCTGCGCTTTGCCCCGCCCCCAACATCCTAACTCCCCAACCCTCAGAATGGGACTGTGGGAAGCAGGTGGGAAAGGCGGGTATGCTGGGCACGGGTCTCACTTGCGGGTGACAAAGTTCTTGAAACAGACAAGAAGCGACAGGTGTGCTACATGGTTAATAAACTAAATCCCATGGGACTGTCGACTGGGAATGGTTCTTTGTTATTTTGGGGTTTTTTGGTGGGTTTTTTTTTTGGGTTTTTTTTTGGTTTTTTTTTTTTTTTTTTTTTTTTTTTTGGTACTAGGGATTGAACTCGGGACCTTGTGCTTGCAAAACAGGCGGTAGAACCACTGAGCTAAATCCCTGGCCCTGGATAATTCTGCTATGGGAATTTTACCTAAATAAAAAACAACTGGGCAAACACATGAGAGAATGTCCCTGTACCCCATCTTCACAAGCAATGTGTCCTTATTGAAAAAAAGGATAAGCCAGGTGTGCTGGCACATGCCTGTCATCCCAACACTCTGGGAAGCTGAAGCAGGAGGATCACTAGCTCAAGCCCAGCTTGGACAACCTAAGTGACTTAGCGAGACCATGTCTCAAAATTTAAAATAAAAAGGGCTGGGGATGGAGCTCAGTGCAAAGGCCCTGGGTTCAATTCCCAGTATTGCAAAACTAAAAACAAAAGCCCCCGTGGACTGGGCTGGGATGCCCTGCCCAGCAAGTCTGGGACACTGGCATCGTGACAGTGCCCTAGGCCTGCTTATAATGCTCCTGACCAGGGTGCTGCCCACTTATCTGCCCTGCCCCTGGAGCTGTGCAAGTGGAAACCCCTGTGGCCCTGACATCTCAGCCTCACCATCCCATGGACACAGGAGGTAAACAGGATCCCCTAAAGCTCTAGATACCTGCCCATGTTCACAGTGCCAGAGCCGCATAGCCAGACTCTGCGCCATGGAAGTGTCCCCTACTCTTCAGTAGAGGTGGGGTCCCACAGGCCCTGCTGCATGAGAGTGAGCCCCACACTGCAGCCCTGTGAGCCCCCACCACTGCAGGGGAGGCCTGGCGGCCTAGAGGGAAAATACCAGCCAGGGCTTCCTGGGAAGGGGTGGGCCACAGCAGTCACCATGGGTTCAAAGGCCTTGCTCGTCATGGTGACACGGGACAGGCTGGAGGTGTCGAGAGAAGGGCAGAGGGGACAGGACAAGGGGATACCTGCAGCATTGTCCATGTTCTCACACAGGTCAGCCAGCAGCTCCAGGGCCCCCTCACGCTCCTCCTGGTCAGTGGCCAGTTCAGTCTCCCCTGCTGTGGCAGGCGTGGGCTGAGATAGCACTCGGAGGCAGCTCTTCATCTGCTCCACCTCCTCCCGCTGGCCCCGGAAGGCAGCTGACATGGCCTCCTGCAGCCACTGCCGGCGCTGGGGACGAGAATGGAAAAGGTGTGGAATGGTAAATCATTAGGGAATCATAAATGACAGTTGTAGCCTGGTAAGCCATACCTGGCATCCCAGCACTTGGGAGGCTGAGGCAGGAGGGTCACTGAGAATCTGAGGCCAGCTTGGGCTACACGGTGAGTTCAAGGCCAGGCTGAACTGCATAGTAAGACCAGTCTCCAAAAACCAAAACTAACAGTAACACTGATGACGATGACAGCCAACACTGTTCTTTCCACCAAAAAAATATCTCCCGAGCACCTTTTTTTATTCAGGCTTCTGGGTACTGGGACCTCTACCCTGAGCCAGCCAGGCAGAAACTCTTGCCCAGTGAAGGGAGGGCTCATATTCTGGGGGAGAGCAGATGACAGAGAAAGCACAGCATGCAGTCTGACACGACAAGATGAAAGGCACCCTAGGGCAAGGTTAACCAGAGTGGGGCTGAGGACAGCTGAAGTGGACTTTACAGTGTGTGAGGGACCACGTGTGAGGAAACATGTAGGTAAGGAGCCAGGCGTGGTGGTGCGCACCTGTACCCCAGCTACCAGGGAGACCCTGTCTAAAAAAACAAGAAGGACCGGAAGTGTGGCTCAGTCGAAGAGTTTTCTCTTCTCAGGGTTCGATCCCCACTACCCCAACCACCACCAACACAAAATTACATATAATAAAACTTGCTGTCAACCTTCGAAAGGTCTCATTGCTCACAGGTAAGGAAACAGCCCCAGAAAAGTTGTGCCCCTGCTCAAGGCAAGGTCACACGGTCAGCAACTGGCAAGGCCTAAAGCCAAACAGCTACGTGTAGGGCATGTGTGCAGCCCTGCTGAACTACAACCTCAGAAGCACCCTATGGAGTACTGTTATTACTAATCTTATCATGACCAATTTTAAATGAATGAATAATTTGAGATTCTGATAAATATATACAAGGCCACACTGTTACACCCTGCTGAATCCAGGTCTGGGAGACTTTTTTTTTTTTTTAACCATGAGGCTCTTTTGCCTCCCTGAACAGTGCTGGGATCCAGGAATCTGTCTCCTCAGACACCTGACATCTGACGTTTAGCCTACAATGACCCTATCCAGCACAAATACAGCCCCCCAGGCCTCCACATCTGGGCTCCACCCCAGGCCCCAGTCTCTGGCTCCACAAGCCACACTTCCCAAGACATCTCTATCCCAGGCTCCTCACCGCAGCTTCCTGGGTTCCATACTTTACCTCCTCGCTCATGGGTT